AGGGGCTCCCTCCGATGCATCGTCCCATACCAATGCACCGGCCAAGCCATTCCAGCCAATCATCACATTTATGTTGGTTCATCCCCGTACCATGTATGTTGATTGTTTCTCATGAATCTACCCAACGATTATACCTAGTCCACCCATTTATAATCACAATCACAAGTACTTAGGGAAGGGGCGTCTACCATCCCAATGGCAGTGACGAGTCCCTCCCCAGGAATGGTATACCAACCCTAGTTCGAACTCCAGGCGTACGATAGTGGTCGCATTACCAAATGACAACTCACTACAAGTGCAAGAAACCATCTCCCCCCCACTGGGTTCAACTGACATTTACACTCTACGGCATATCTCGTAGGTAATCCAAGTCCCTCCCAACCACCATACAATGAGTAAACCAACATATTCTCAATCAATTCACATTTTACCAATTAATCGCAAAATACCCAAATTTCACAAGTAAAGCGTCATAGCAAGATGGAATTAAAATGAGCAAAAGATCAATATAAAGATCATTTTCGTTGAACAATATCGAACACTAAATTTATAAAGTGAGAACCAAGGCAATATATGGAGAAAACTCAATTTTTCTTAAAACCAAGTTTGGAAGATGAAAAAGAGAAATTTAATGGTTACCAAACCATCCCATTATTCAAACATAGCATTTATTACAAGGAGAATTAAGAATCATACAAATCATATCAAATAAATATGGATGGGAGTGGAAAACATATGTATATACATAAACCCTAGCCTCAATGTAAGAAATTAGGAAGAAATCCCCTACCTCTTGGTTGTAGCTTCAATCTAAGACCCAAGATTCAAAATCTTCCTATTCTCCTTCCTTTTCCTCTTAATTTCGTCCTCCTAGGGTTTCTAGAGATTTGGGTGTGAGTGGTTGAGGAATAGAAGCAAAAGAAATGGGTGGAGAAGAGAAAACTTGAGAAATTCGGTTTTGATCTTTATGAGGTGGGAATCTCTCTTGACCTTGGTGTTTTTCTCTCCCTTTTCTCTTCTCTTAGGGCTCTAAGGTATTTAGAGTGGAAGGGAAATGAAGAATGGGAGAAATAGGGCTTGGAATGGGTGTTTTAAAACCCAAAAATCCCGACTTTTACTGTTCATCGTCTGTTTTGGGGGTTTTCCAGACTTACTGTTTTCCTTATTTTTGATCATGATAAACTTTGAATCTGAAAAAGTGCAAAACATGAAAGTTGTAGATCTAGATGTCTTCTGCATTGTGTCAAAATTTCAGCTCAATCGGACCATTGTAGCAAGAGTTATGACGATTCTACGACAACTGGTCCGGAGTAGGCAATGTACCCGGAGCAGCGCCCCAGCGCCCATTTGGGCGCCCCTTTTCACTTCCAATCCTTCCAACTTTAATCCTAACTTATCCTACATACTTTTCTACATCGACCTAATTAGTTCAAGTTCTTTTATGATTTATTTTGTACATTTTCATACCGAAACTAATCTTTTAACTACTCTTTCCTTGAGTTATACTATTTTATCATTTCAAATGAAATAATTACTGAACACCTATGTCTTTTATTTTTTTTATTTTTTTTTATTTTTTTTTTTAAACGCATGTGGGGTATTACAATCCACCCCCCTTAAAGAAAGTTTCGTCCTCGAAACTTACCTCCAGTAACGAACAGAAATGGATACTTCTCCCGCATTTCCAGCTCCGGTTCCCAAGTAGCTTCTTCCACTCCATGATGTTGCCACAAGACTTTCACCAATTTGATTACTTTGTTGCGAAGCACTTTCGCCTTGGCGTCAAGAATCTTCACCGGTTGTTCTTCATAGGTTGCTCCGTCTTGAATCTCAATGTCTTCCAAGTCTACGACCGGCGTTGCATCCGATTGACACTTTCTCAACATGGACACGTGAAATACGTCGTGTACTCCAGACAACTGAATTGGTAACCGCAACTGATATGCCGCTTTGCCCACAACTTTGATCACTTCAAAGGGTCCGGTATATCTTGGTGCTAATTTCCCTTTCTTGCCAAATCGAATTACTCCCTTCTTGGGGGACACCTTAAGGAATACATAGTCCCCCTCTTGGAATTCTAATGGTCTTCGTCTTCGATCCGCATAGCTTTTCTGTCTACTCTGTGCCGTGCGTAGTCTTTCCCGGATGAGCTGAATTTTCTCTGTAGTCTCCCGAACAATCTCTGGCCCAAACAAGCTACTCTCGCCCGCTTCTAACCAACACGTCGGGGATCTACACGGTCTTCCATACAATGCTTCATACGGTGCCATCCCAATGCTTGCCTGATAGCTGTTGTTATACGCGAACTCCACCAACGGCAAATGGTCACTCCAACTCCCCTTGAAGTCCAACGCACATGCACGTAGCATATCTTCCACAATCTGTATCACCCTCTCAGATTGGCCATCTGTTTGGGGATGGAACGCGGTACTGAAATGTAACTCTGTCCCCATGGCTTGTTGTAGACTTTGCCAAAATCGCGCCACAAACCGAGAGTCACGATCCGACACAATAGAAAGCGGAACTCCATGTAACCGCACTATCTCACGGATATATAACTGGCTCAAGGTCTCGAATGTATCCGTGGTCTTCATACTCAAAAAGTGAGCAGACTTGGTGAGTCTATCCACAATGACCCACACTGCATTATGCCCGCGCGACGTCCGTGGTAAACCCGACACGAAGTCCATAGTAATGTGATCCCATTTCCACTTGGGAATAGGCAAGGACTGTAGGACTCCTCCTGGCCTTTGATGCTCAATCTTCACCTGCTGACACACCGCACATTTTGCCACATATTTGGCCACATCTCGCTTCATTCCCCTCCACCAGTATTGACGCTTCATGTCCCTATACATCTTTGTGCTACCGGGGTGGATAGCAAACTTGGAGCGATGGCACTCTCCAAGTATCTCCTCCTTTAAGGACGAATCATCGGGAACACATAGCTTCTCCCCATATCTCAACTCTCCATTCTTCCAAGACCATCCTTTAATAGCTTCTCCATTCCCCAATCGGACTCTAATCAAATCGAGTTCCGAATCTAGGCATTGCAACTCTACCACCCGTCGTCGAAGCGTCGGTTGAGCTACAAGGTTGAATAAATATGGTTGGTACTCCGGTCCATCCACCCATAGATCGTACTCCTCCAAAGTATCAATCATTTTCCACCTATTTATCGCGAGAGAATTGATTTCACCCCGAGACTTCCTGCTAAGAGCGTCTGCAACTACATTGGCCTTCCCCGGATGGTAGTTAAGTGTGAAATCATAATCTTCTAAATACTCAATCCACCTTCTTTGCCGTATGTTCAAGTCTTTTTGGGTGAATATGTACTTGAGGCTTTTATGGTCCGAGAACACTTGAAATTTCTCGCCATACAAGTAACACCTCCACAACTTAAGAGCAAAGACCACCGCGGCAAGCTCCAAGTCGTGAGTGGGATAGTTCTGCTCATGAATCTTGAGTTGCCTCGAGCCATAGGCAACTACCTTCCCTCCTTGCATTAGAACACATCCCAAGCCTCGTAGTGAAGCATCAGTGTATACCTCGTAGCCCTCCCCACTGCTCGGAATAATGAGGATAGGTGCTGTCGTCAATTTCTCCTTCAAGGTGCGAAAAGCTAGTTCACACGCTGGAGTCCACAAGAATTTCTCCCCCTTCTTTGTAAGGCGAGTACATCGGCATCGCTAGCTTGGAGAACCCTTCCACAAACCTTCGATAATAACCGGCTAACCCCAAGAAATTCCTTACTTCCATTACATTCTTCGGTGGTTCCAAAATCCAAGTAGACAGTCAAAATCACAAGTACGCACACATTTAAAAACTGTGTGTCAATCCTAGAATTAGAAATAAACTCTTTAACAAATTGATCTAACCTGCCTGAAAAAGAAGGGAAAAAAAAAGATCAACCTCTATACGTGTACATAGTCCCATAGAGAAAGGTGACACTTCTGAACATAGTTATCAAATCGTGTATCGGAAGGCGTATCGTAAGATACAAATATTGTATCGTATCGTGTATCGTAAGATACGATGCAATTTTAAATAAATAATAAAAAAATATATATACCTTTGAAAAAAAGTCATACACTCATAAAAAATATAGCATTTCATTAATACTCCACCAACTATTCAAGTTATCAACATAATCAACTACTATTATAATGCAAAGTTCACAACCATAGTTCACTAATTCAAACTTTAAACACCAAAGAGACTTCTAATCCAAATTTCTAACATCCATTTTGAACTCAATCTTCAATTTCAATTGAAAATGCATCATCATCATCATCATTGTGATCGGATGCCAACAAGTCTTCACTTGTCGTTTTTTAAAAAAAAAATCAGAGCACAAAACGACGTCGTTTTTAAAAAAAAAAAAAAAAAAAAATTGCACGTATCGTGCGTTTCGTACCGATACGTATCGTATCGTAAAAACGTATCGTGTATCGGACGATACAACGCAAAAACGATACATAACTACGATCCGTATCGTTTTAGGGCTGTATCGTAACGTATCGTACGATACGTATCGCGTATCGTACGATACTAACAACTTTGCTTCTGAATCAAAACAGCTAACTCAGGGAAAAAAATGGAATTCGATAACAAATAACTTTGAACTATATGATGACTATAGTTGATGATAAACAGAATATAATTTTCACTAATAGCTGCTATTCTGATGTAAAGAATGACATTGAAAATTTTAGAACCTGGACATGCCCATATTTCAACTCTTTGGAAAAAGCGCTGACAATAACTGAACTATTACCAAAAGTCAATATACTCACTACTGACACAAAAATCATACACAGTTGCACCAGCGGAAAGTAAGTTATTTCTAACAGAATAACTAACAGTTTGCCTCCAAATGATATTTGATAGTACTAATATGATGATCAGGGAGTAATGCATATAAAAGTTTAAATGACGATCATGGTAACAACACTCATCATGCAGATGAGCGGTCAGGGCACATGAGTACATTAACTTACATTGACAATGGTAAACCAGCGGCCGATAAGTTTGCATTGACCTTGATGCGGTCAGCACTAGATGCAACGGCAACTTTCAGGCCTTTACTTTTACACTGTTGTACAGAACCACCATATAATACCACCAAATGTAGCCGCAAAGTATTTGGTATGAACTCAATTCCAAACTATTGCTTTACCTACCTGGGTAATGAGTTCTAGGGCTCCAGGGAATCCTATTCCAGAATTTGGTTTTGCATACTGCAAGAAGTGATACAATTTTGGTTGTCAGCAGCAACATATACACTGGCAAGTAGCACCATCTAAAGAATTCCCTATCCGAGAACATGTCAGGAGCAAAAACTCTAGAATGAGAGTTCAAATCACCTTATCTAGATATATCTCAAAAAACCTCTTCTTTGCCGCCTCAGGATTAAATCCTTTAACCCCTTCACAGAAGCAACACCTCCTAAAAACTTTGCTTCACCTAATTCATTGAAGAGAGAGAGAGAGAGAAAAAAAAATGTTTCAAAATTAAGAAAGAAGAAGAAAGTAAGGAGTCTTCCTTAGTTCAACATGCGCATTAATATATTGAGATAATGAACCACCATGTATAATATATTCCAGGGAAGTGCTCTATTAAGTATTCTGGTATTCCCACTACGCACTACAATAAGAATATAGATAAAATATTTCGACATGCTTGTTGGTTGGCGTTGGTGGGGGCTGGGGGTCGAGGGGGAGGCGGAGGGGGGTTTGTTGCGCACAAATAGGTGAATAGAGAGAAAATAATATCTCCCTCATGAAAATGGAAAACAAAAATTGAATTGCACCAAGAACTTTACCTGTGCCCATGAATGGCACGAAGTCCTCCACGGTGACCTCGACCCCCATTTCAGCGAAGACATCCACAGCGGCCATTCTTGACGGCTCTTCACTGTTGCAGAGCACTCCATCCATATCGAATAACACCGCCGACACTTTCCCCCACTCACTACCCGTTTCCGGAACATTCTTCTCCTCCAATTTCACACACGACCTCACCGTCAAAGTTCTTTTTCTCTGAGGCGAAAACGCGAATGATTTTGGCGCCAATTGAATCAGAGAGCTCGATTTCGAGGCTGTTCTTGAGTTGGAAACGAAGCTGCTGAGTCGTGATTGAGAGGAAGAAGGTGGACTTGATAGCAGCCTCAAAGCCATTTTGTGTCTGTGTGTGTATGTGTCCAACTGTACGTTTGATCGTCTATCTGAACTAAATTTGTTGTTTGTTCAAAAAAAAAAGACTACCATCTGTTTGAATGAGTGGCGCGGAGTGGGTTGCAGTTATATCAGGCTTGATGTGACAAGATTGCCCTTGACCTTTGCCTGAATTAGTTTGTGGATGAGCGTGGCGTACTTGTCTTTCTAAAATCTTGCAGGGAGTTTTGAGGGTATTTTTGAGGTAATGGGAGCATTTTTTAGTGATGGAGAAATGCTTTGCGTCATTTTATTTGGTGAGGCAGAGAAAAATTGGTGCATTATCTTGATAATGCCCACATCTATTTTTGTTTTATATTTGGCTCATGGTTCCTATCATGGTTCACAGGTTTAAGGATTCAAATCTCCTATAATATACTAAATTGTTTCGTTTTCTTAACTCTCTTTTAAGTTTCAAATGAGAAATTACTAGGTTCAAATTGATTCATTATCAATACACATTGTATTTTAGTATTTGTGATTTTTATTGTTTTTTCGTTTGTCTATTCAAGTTCTCATCGTATTGTCTTTCTGAAAAAACAAAGTTGCAACCTGATTTTTGAAAATAATTATGAAAGAGTTTTTGACAAATTGTTTAGGTAGCAAGGCTCAAACTTAATTCGGCCACTTTGTAATATAGCCTAATCTTTCTTTTACCACTGAGCTAGTTTAGATATTATCGGAGTCTTATGCTCCGTTTGGTATGATGAAAAAATAGGAGGATAGAAAATTGAAAGGATGAAAAGTTGAAAGGATAAATAAAATATCATGTTTGATAAAAAAGGAAAGTACGAATGATGGAAAAGTTGATGGATTAACTTTCCTTCCAACTCACCAAAATCAATCCCTCCAAAATCGGAAGGAAAGTGAATGAAAAATTAATTATTTGTGTTGATATGTATCTTATTTGTATATATATCTTATGTATACATTAATTTCATATAAAAATACAATGGTAAAATATGTATATATATATTTTAAAAAATTTTAAAAATTAATTTAAAAAAAATAAATAATAAAAAAAATTTAAAATTAAAAAAATATATTTTTTCTATCTTAACTTACAGTGAAAATTTTCGGCACAACACAATAATACGACTCAAACTCGATACGAAAATAAATAGGTCAACTCGTAACTCGACACGACACAATTAATTAAATGAGTTAAGTTATGTTTAACTAATATTCGGCACAAACTTGTAATGACTCAACACGAATCTAACACGACACGACTTAACTCTATTGTCACCTCTAATCTTAGCTAACACAAAAAAAAAAAAAAAATAGTCATTTTTATTTTCAATCCATCCAACTAAACACAAAGGAAGGAAAGTGTATCCCTCCTACTTTCCATCTTCCCCACCAAACGGAGCATTAATGTTAAGGATTTTCATGGGCTGTGCCATAGAACTTGGCCGAAAAAATGACAAGCTTGGGAGAGCCAGGCCAACCTTGGGCCAAGTCATGATTGTGCTGAACGATGAGTTAAGAAAACTGTTGTGACCTGTATGTAGCTTAAGTGGGCATGGCCAAGGGGATTACTTTTAGGGCCGAACCATGGCGCCTTGTGAGCCAACACAAATTGATTTGACATAAACAACAATACTCAAACACAGTCACAACAACCTATCAAACAACTCCCATTCACATGGAATTTATTAACAATGTATTGCTATTTTTGAATAAAAATATCGATCTACGACAATTTTGAAATTTTTTTATCAATTTAGGGCACTTTTTGTAAGCAGAGTCAACAAATCCGCTTTCACTCATAAAGTAGAGTCAGCAAATCCATTTTTAAATTAAAAAATGGCTTTGTTGAACCCGTTTTCATGACTTTTTAAAAGTGATATCAGTAAATCTACTTTCAAATAAAAGCGTATTTGTTGAATCCGCTTTCATTAAAAATGGATTTACAAATACGACTTTAAATGACTTAAATTTTCCAAAATAAGGGCCCCTAAAAGCAGATTTGTTGAATCTGTTTTCATATATAAATGGGTTCAATAAATTCGTTTTTCCAAACCAATCCCATTTGTGAGTAAACCAACCTATAAATCTGTTTTATAGAGCATGTTAAACTAATCTTTTCCTATTATATTTTGATATACTGAAATATTACTTTAACAAATGTGCTTTCTCATCCACTTTTTAGAAATATATAAGGAGGTTTCAATTAATCTATTTTTTCAGACTAAACCCATTTGTGAATAAAATGCCAAAGACTTGTCAAACTTTTCATGTACCCAATGTATAAAAAAAACCCAGAAATAAGAAAAAACCTTCAAAATAAAGAGACTTTATTTATTTATCTGAAATAGAAATACAAGATTTTGTTTCATAGGACATGAAATAGACATACGATAAAATATTTCTAATGATGATCATGTTCTCAACAGTATAGTGGTTTGCCACATAAGTGTAGTGTAGCAGGGAGAAATTTTTCGTAATCATCATCACTTGATTCTTCAAAGTTAATAAGTTTATTGTCAGAAGTCAGTAATGGATCGGATATTATTGCATTAATAGCCTCGGAAGGATCTGAATGTTCAATCTTTGCCTTTTTGATAAGGTGGAATCAATATAGACATCGTTGCATCTGATCATTCTCAAGTTCAAGTCTTACAATAATATCATCATAGTTATCTGTGCATTATTTCATGAAAATTTTAGCTGAACATGCATATGGCACTCGTAATCCATGCCAACAACAATATACTTCAAGCTCATAGTACTTGAAATAAGATTTCAACCACTTTGGTCCCTATAGGTAGAAATAGAACTCTAAAGGAGGAACAATAGTTGCAGGTTCAATCATCACAGGACCGACTTATGTGAAAGAGTTATGAATGTTGATTGGCTCATTCTAAAAGTAACGCAAGTTTCTATACCACATTACACCACTGGGATCTGTGTACCTACTGGGTTCTGGTGAACTAAATGACGAATCAATTTGATGTTGTTGTGCACCACAATGTTGTCGTTGGTTGCTCGAGTATGACTTATCGTTTGTTTGGCTTGAAGACCCGAATGATGATCTTGTCAACATTTTAGTGTAGGGTTTACACTGCGAACAAATGCGTATATATACACAAAGTAATTATTGGAATGAACAATTTTAAAAAAATTTAAAAAACTTACTGGAAGTGTTGAGCCGGGCAGTAAGTTATTTCACTTAAAAGACATTGATAAGTGAACAATAATATTGACTAGACACTAATGACTTAACATTGAAATTGACAAGTGTGTTGTTATGACATTGATAATACTGAGAAAGTAGAGAGTGTGTTGTTATGCACACAATATGTACTCATGCTTATTTAGTTTATCCTCCCAGTGGTTATACTAATGTGCGTCTATAGATGTAGTCATGTTATATATTTCTAGTAATTTATGTCTAGCTATAGTAGTTTATCTATACTTTTATTTTCAACTTAAATAACATGTATCATTTATTGTCATATGTTATCAAAAGTATTTAAGTAGAGTTGAATGCACAACATAACAATCAAAACAATATAATAGTCTCAATTGAAAAATATTGTAGTATGAAATGGTGGTATAGAAACTATAAATACTAACTTTACACATACATTTCAAAAAATTTGGGCAAAGTTTCCCCTAAAAAATTGACCCTACCAAAATTGATTTAACCTGCATATACAATATCACAACAACTACCACAAACATATCCACAACCACAACCACAATCAAAAACACAACAACAACCACCACACCACCACCACTACTACTACAATCAATTTGTTACTACTTAAGTTTCATAGAAAACAATGAAACTAATCTATTAAATATATATGAATATAAATTAACAATATGATAAAACTAAGTGTCACAAGACGGCTTCTTCCTCAGTAGTTTTGGACATCGTGCCTCTAACTCTGACGGTTCCCCGTCAATGAATTATTAAACCATCTCTTCAATAGTAGACATTGTAGTCCTATTTGGCCTAAGCCTTGACCACCTTGAAATCTCCCACCTTGACCTCTACCACCTCGACCTTGAATCAATGAAATAATATGCGCAAATAGAATCGTTGTTGTGACATCTGTACAACTATAGGTTTCATATTAACATGTGTATGATTCTCCTGTGTGACATCCTCGACTAGGTGTGACATCTTTACAACTGTAGGAGGTGATGCCATGTGTGCATCCTAAAAGATAGATTGAGTGACCAATATAAATTTTGGGGCATCTTCCGTGGAAATGCCTAGCGCAATAATGGGAGAAACATGCCTTGTAGTATACTTCAAAAGTATGGCAGTCACCATAGAAGCTTGTGTATGAAATGGTCCAGTATGTGCTGGGGTATATGGCAGACTCGTAGTGAATGGTATCTCTAAAGGTACAATAAGCGGTGGTGTATGATGAGGTATAGTACTAGATAAGGGTTGATGAGGTATGGTAGGGGTTGGTGTCTGAAAATTCATGCTCGGCTCTATTGCCAGCTCAGGTACACTCGAGCTTGGTACTATGTCGACATCATTATCTACCCGACTGACCAGATAAAGATGAGGAGATCTCTATCATCGTACAACAACCCCATGATGCCTCGTATGTACAGTGGGCAGTGCATGCGGTGTAGTTTGTGGTATAGGTGGTGGCTCACGAGTGGAGATTATGATGGAGATGATGGTCCTCTCGAACAGCCACAAGGCAAGTGGAGCAAAGAGACCATGTGTCACACAGCGCCTGTGCATGTGTTGAGTCCGTACCATCCTCAAGGGTATGATCTAGTGAATCTGTACAAAATGTACGTTCCTATAATGTAAAAGTGAATTACATTAGCAAAAAATTATTTATGTATTTTTTTAATGTATATTGATCAATGAACTCATGTATTAAGTTACCAATATCTCTATGATGCTATCAATAGGCTAGAATCCAATAGGTGGTCTATCTAACAGAGGTCCAATAATTTATCTACTGGTATGCCCGTACCAA